CCTGTTTGGATGGGGTTTTTATGCTTTGTGTAAGTTTGAAAAGGTAGAAAGGTATAGAAAGTGTAAAAAGTTCCTTCTGTGGTGGTGGTGTTCCTAAATAACACTGGACAGTCTTTCTGTCAGATCTTAAAGCTGCCATGCAAAATCAGTTTTTATTGTTCACAAATCAGGTTTTGGCAAGGCAATCGGGAAAAAAAAACGCTTTATAGCATTCCGCCTAAGAAAAAGCAAAGATTAAAACCGCAACTGGGATGTTACCTTGCAAAAGCAGAAGAATTGGAAAAGTAGTTGCACGTTTGTCTAAGTTATGGATTCAAGACGCCATTGGAAGCCTGTGTTGTCATTTGAAAAATTTCTCGCATTTTACCAAAAAACAGAAACCCTTTTTGGTGGTTCATACTTGAAAGTTAGTAGAACAATTTTTTTCCCTTCTCTTTTTCTTTCTCTTTTTACAAGGAGAAGAGGTGGATAAGAACTGCATAGTACCCAAAATTTTTTGCAATGTGGACAGGCTACTAGAGGTCAGCATGAAATCTTTGCTCCTCTTCAGTCCTTTGAGCTCATGAACCAAGATAGGAAAAAGTCTGTGCAAACACACACAGCAAACATCAGCAGCAGTCTGAATCTGGCCTGCCACACTTTTACTTTCAAAGCAAAAATACAGCAAGTGACTAAAACCACATCGGAGGTATTTAATTCATGGCTACAGCCATGAATCCACCGCAAGATCTGCAGTTCAGTGGTTTTTTCCACACCATCGCCACACTTGTAATTTTGTCGTTGTGATTTTGACTGTGGTGAGACTGATTAGTTACCAGTCTTCACCAGATTCTTAAGAAAGAGATCATGTTCCTATACCCTTATGGCATAGTAACACCTGTAGGGAAAGCTGTTGTATCAGAGACAAAGTTTTTACCACGCGTGTAAAGATTACTGTCTTAAAAGGAGTGCGGGTCCTTGGAACTGATTTCAAATACTACTCATGTTGTAATGTTCTGGACACGATTGCATTGTATAAACGGGAGAAGATAATATATCGTAAAGAATGGAAAATACTTTTGTTTTCTCCTGTAAGGAAGAAAAAGCAACAAAATAAAAGCAACAATTTCAGAATCATTTCTGTAGTTGGAGCTGGCAGAAAAATTTAAGTAATGGATAGGAGGTTTTTTGTTCTTTAATTGTAAATCTCACTGTGGAAAAAAGTTCAACTAGGAAGAGTGTTGATACCAGGAATATTGGGAAAAATCCTTATGTATTGCCATATAATCATCAAGCGGCAGTCTTTTATTAGTGTTCAGCTATCTGAATTATTGAAATGGATTCCAAAATACTTGGATAAAACTTGCACTAACTAGTTATCAGGGCAGAGTCAACTACAGGCATAGTCATTGAGTCATGTATTCTGTTAAATGACGGGTTTTCAAACACAGATTTTGGAAGATGAATGTGTAATTCATAATGTCTAGGAAAAAAAAAAAGTCATTCATGTTTTCAGGTCAAATTAATGTTTTGAGTTTTTCCTTTCCCCCCCCAAATGTGTCATCTTTTACAGGCAGCTTGCTAGACTTCCTTAAAGAAGGAGAAGGGAAATATTTAAAACTCCCACAGCTGGTCGACATGGCTGCTCAGGTACATTGGATGAACCAAGAAAATTGTATTTTGTGCTTAGAGAAGAGATTTAAAACTATATGAGGTATCAACTAAATGTAAATATTGAACATTAGGGAAGCGATCGTCCCCCTGTACTTGGCACTGGTGAGGCTGCACCTCGAATACCATGTTCAGTTTTGGGCCCCTCACCTCAAGAAGGATGTTGAGGTGCTGGAGTGTGTCCAGAGAAGGGCAACGAGGCTGGTGAGGTCTGGAGAGAACAAGTCTTCTGAGGAGCGGCTGAGGGAACTGGGGTTGTTTAGCCTGGAGAAAAGGAGGCTGAGGGGAGACCTCATCGCTCTCTACAACTACCTGAAAGGAGGTTGTAGCGAGGTGGG